TCTCTCTCCCTCCTTCCCTCTCTCTCTCTCTCTCTCTCTTTCTCTCTGACCCCTTCTCTCTCTATCCCTCTGAAAGTACTGCTCTCCCTGTCTAATCATATTTTTTTCTTGAGCCCTTCTCCATCCTCACGAACTCGACCCATCTATCAACCTATCCTTCCACACACACACAAAAATCTAACCCCAACTTCTTTTCCCTTCTCATTAACACCTACGATGGCTGTAAGGCTTGTACATACATAGTAATAATAATGTACATAACATTATCGCCCCAGACGCACAGACAGACAGGAATATCCATGCATAATAATATATACCACTCCAACTTTCACTCAATCCCTTGTCCCATTTCGCATTCAACATTCCTTTACCTTCAGCCTCGGGATTTTTGTTCTCACTTTGTACGAGCCAGCGGCCCCGCCCGCCCACACCGCACTAACCGTCTTCTCTCCGTGACTCACGACCAAACTATGAAACTATCGACCTCAATAGACCGGTGAGAGCAAAAAGCCGACGACCGCGCTCGACGGAACAAGGTTTGTTCGGAGTTAAACGCTACGAATTGCGCACGTGCGTCTATTATTGTATCCGTTGGTAGCTCAACAAACTCACGAGTCTACAGAGTCTCTGGTTCATGCTGGTTACGAAATTTGCTCAGCACCCGGAGGTACCCGAAACACGTGCCCCCTCTGGGCAGCCACGCTTTGACCTGCGCGTGAGAGAGAGTGCAATACCAGTGTACCGCCGCACTGTTTTCTTTCCATCAATCAGCTGTTCGCACAAATGGAGTTGGGCCCACGATCCCGTTTCGCTCTGTATGGGACTTTGCTTTTAATGTAATGACCCCTGTTGTACTTTCATCTGATAAAAAGTACCGATCAACTTACACACCCCCTCTCCGCTCCACCCCGTATTAGATGTTTTACTGCCTGAAAAAAGCAATATAAATATTCTTGCCCCACCCTTACCCCACGCCCCACACCCCGTCTCCCCGGGGTGGTCTCCAGAACGTATTCTAAATCATTATTACGTTGACGATTTGAACGAGCTCAACTTTTATATGACCAAGTTTCTTAATAATTACTTGGCAAATAACTTTTTTTCCCCTGAAAGCACGTAGGCTACTTCTTCACGGTGGACATTTGATAACAGTTTCTAATCTATTGCATACTTCCCTTCAAAAGTAAACGTACAAGAAAAGCGAGAAAAGGCGGGCCCGTTTGAGTCAAAATGATAAAATCAAAGACATAATGGTTACAGGGGAGAAATAATCCCTATGCATTAGAATAGAGTTAAATGAGGACATGATACGTCTTCTCCGTCCAAATGTCCAGGCACATAATCTCACGGGTAGGACAGACGTCAGATTCGCGTAATACAGTAGCACACTACGACTGCTGAAGACGCAAACAAAAAGGCAAAACCGGAGATGCGCACCGGAAACTGGCGGGAAGATGGGACGTTTCAACGGAAGCATGTGCACTCTTTGCTTCCGGTGCAGGGCACAGAGGTTCGCCCCATCGCTGAATCCGTTATCTCAAGTACACATACGCTGCGCCGGGAGATAACTCTAGGCTTTAAGAGGTCCGCCTGGGTTGTTTTCAAGCCTAAACCTTGTACCACTAAAAGACGTCGCAGTGGTGTAGTGGATTTACGTATTGCTTCTCACTTGAAAATGTTGGACGCAAAACGTAAGTCTTGCGCAGCTTTGAAAACAACCACCTATTGCCAACACTATTAACAGGGATCTAAATTCAGTAAAAAAAAAAGTCATGAAACTAAAAGGAGATGAAAAAAAAATACAACAAACCTATAAGAGTAATAGTGGATAATTGTCTATGTTCACTGCTCTGCTGTAACAACGCGTATCATAACGCTATTTGACATTGTCGTGCTAACTTGCATCTTTGGGGGGGGGGGGGTTCAACGTTATTTAACATGTAATCTAATACAAATACCGAGCAGTCGTTATTGATACGAAACGATATCACAGATATGAAAATAAACCTTGTATCTCGGTATGCCAGTAGACTTCTTTTCGAGCCCCTTAAAAAGACCCCTTAATCTTTTTAATTCTTAAATGCTCTACTGTTCAAACAAGAGCCACCAAGCAAAGGGCATGAATATCGACCAGACTGTCAGAGAGACATGTGTTACCGAGGGCAAAGCTGATACGCTTCAAGAACTCATGAACTCATACATCCATTTATCAAGATACTATTCATAGCATCTCGCTTATTAATTAAGTAGAGAATAGCCGTGCACAACGAGGCCTACAAAAATAAGGCAAATCAACGCTGTGTGTGCGTTAATCTCACTCAGTCAGACTGTTTAAGAGATGGGGCGTCCGATTGAACGTACATTCATGAATAGAACCGAACTAGGTGAGTGCTGAGCTATTATAGCTTTAAAAACTACCCATGCTCAAGAATGCCCCTTCGGGGATTCGAACCTGGCTTACTCTCATCGCACTCCAGCACGATACCAACTGAGCAGATGGTGTGCCCCAAAATAAACTGTTCACAATCGGGAAAAAAATCAATCACCCCAAGGAGGTGGCCATGTGTGTATTTCGCCCCGGGCGTTTACACCCTAAACAGCTGTACTTGGGAACTGTTGAATCAGTGCCACGCCACGGGCCGAGGCAAGGACGAAGTGTGACCTTACAGCTACTGGCTTGAGTCGTGATGTTATTGAAGCAAACGCCCTATCAATCACTGTGTAGGTCATTTGGACAATGGAGTCTCTGCCCCCCTGATCAGGAAAGTCAACATTCTTCTTTTCTGACTTTGAGAAACTCTATGAATTATACCTCGACATATTCTTTCCTTGTGTTGAAAAATGCGGGTAACCTTGTAAGTCAAACTGGGATAAGCATTGGTACTAATTACACAACACTAACTTTTTGAATACGTCACATTTTCAGCACATAATCTTTTGAACCACTAAGATTAGAGGAACCGCCATGAGAGTATCGAAAATCGGGAAATGTTCTCAAAGTGTCTAAAGGCACAGAGCTTGGATTTCTTAATTATATTTAATATTTTACCAGAGCGAAACAAAATAACAGCCTGCGAAGATTACGCTTTCCCGAGTTTTTTAGGAATTAACCTAAAAGGGCAAGAGTGCGGAATGTTTCAACATTCAATTAAGTTTTGGTTTTACAGAGAGACGAATGCAGCATCTGCAATGATTTACCAGTTGTTGCAGTGGCAGGGCATTTGTCATTCAGCCCAAGAAAGTCTCCGCAATCCAACAATTAATCCTTCCTGTCTAAAGAATCATGAAGAGATCTCACAACGCAGCTTATCGTCGCGCCACCCCTGGTTTCAGGTCTCCACGAAATGCCCCCACCAAAATAGCTATCGTTTATAACTACCGATGGATTTGACAACGGATCACACCACCAGATACCACCGTCATAAAAACGTCAATTGTTTTTATGCATTTTGATCTTATCGCAAAGAGCTACTTCCACATTCTAGAAACAAGAGTATTCCCTTTTTAGCACTTTCCCACAGACCCCGCGTAGTTTCCACAATTGCCTTCATCTATCTACAGAGCAACAACAACAAAAAAAAGGCACAAGCTACTTTATCGTCATAAAAAGAGCTACTTCATAATTTTAGAAGTATCCACTAAAATTAAGTCAATTTTGTCAACAATAATGATGATAACCAACATCAGAGGACGAAATACAAGGAAATTAATTACAACTGAAAGCATATTATCTTGCACTCAAACTATTATCCCCCCCCCCCCTTTTCACCCATAACCAACCCCCCACTTCTCTCTCTCTCTCTCTCTCTCTCTCTATCTCTCTCTCTCTCTCTCTCTCTCTCTCTCTCTCTCTCTCACCCACTCTCTCTCTCTCTCTCTCTCTCTTATCTATCTTTATCTCTCTCTCATTTTGCCCTCTCTCTCTCTCTCCAGCTTTTTCTTCACTGTTGTAATGCTTCTGTTGTAGCCTTAAACTTGTATATAGAGATGCCTGAGAACTCGGTGTAGCTGCAAGGCCATGTTACGATCAAACATTCCAACATTGACCTCATCATGATTCTCCCACTTTCAAACTGTTTTGAGGAGTCAAGAATCTCACAGACAACTTTCTCTCTTTTTTAAAGAAACGGTCTTGAATTTCTTATTGATTTTTTTTCTCGCGGCATACTTTTCCATAACGAAAAGGGGTGACTGAGAACGAAATGATTAAGCAAGATGGAAAAAATGAATGCATGTACAAGATATTAGTACGCCAGTACGTTTAAAGATACATGATAGAACATGATTGTCATTGAGCGGTCCATTGGGTACCATTTTCCGATAGCTTTACTTGGAAGCTTGGCATTAAGAATAATAAATAACTGTTCCATGTAGAAACAGCGATAACGCGTCACCACTAAGGTTCAAATTGAAAGGACAAAAACATTCGTTTTACGGCAGCCAGTTATTCTTACTGATTTGTGCTTTTTGTTCTTACTGCTTTGTACTTTTTGGGCAAAAGCATTCTCCCCACATGAGCTTTGTTAAGTCAACACAGGGGGGTGCTGTTCGACACTTCAGACATTGAACAGTCGCTGGATATGGATACCATCTTTAACAGATTAGCTTTCTGTTGGCGATTTATCTGAGTGACCGTGCACGTCTTCGCCGAAACCAAACCGATTACTCGAAGGATTTCTCTGCTCTCAAGTCAAGTCGTGACCACAACAGAAGAGTTGATTTGGCAATGGCGATCACGACGAGCTGAGACCTTATTTTGAAGCCTTTTCAGCTTTTGTTTTTCTTTGTGATAAGTGTCCTTTCATTTACATTATAGAACATGCGCAGTGGCAGCCTGTGTCTTCAGGATCAACGCGACGAAGTCCGCTCTCAATGGCGGCCTCCCGGAGTCTTGAAATGCCCGCCTCTGTCAAGGACGAGCACTCAACGTAGGAATCCAAGCCGAGCTTTGACGCGACGTAGACGCCTTCCTTCGTGCTGATGAACACCGGCTGTCCCTTGGTGCTCTTGTGCTGGTCACGTGACGCGGTGGACGTTTTCCTGCTGGGTGGAGCCGCCTCGTCTCTGAGGTCGATCTGGGTGCCAACGAGGATGATGGGAGTGTTGGGAGAGTGCTTCCGGATCTCCGGGATCCACTTATCCTGGGCGTGTCTGAGAGATTCTGGGGTGGCTACTGAGTAGCACAGGAGAAACACGTCACTGTTTACGTAAGAGAGAGCTCGCAGATGAATGTATTCCTCCTGAAAAATAAACACAACAAGAGCGCACATTTACGATAACATTTAATTATTTTCAATCTAAAAATAAATAGTGAGAGACACAGGTGCAAACAATTTTATAGATTAGCTCCCAGAAAGATCGATTGTCCATTATAGACGCGGCAAAAACTTTGGCTAATAGATGGAGCACAGCTCGTTATTTGTATGCATTACTCGTATCGATGCAGGGCGTGGTAAGCTTTTCTCAACAATCTCGGCGGCAGCACAAACGCGTGCTTTTACGCCTACGCTCAATTCTTGAATATTTAATTTACAACTGCGTCAACGATACGTATAATCAAAGGGTATTAGCATATAAACGGAATATCATTATAAAGCAAAAGCCGAAAAAAATGACGTCTGGTACGAGAATCGGTAGTCTAAGAGAAGACGTACGTTAAATGCTCTTGTTTTTGTAAGTATTTTAAGGCATTTATAGCACAATAAGGTCATTTAAGTGCCGAAGATTAGAGACGTTACAAGAGAGTAACAAACACAAAAATGAAACAGGAGAGACAGGGACGATGTATGTTTGATAGGAAAAAAGGAGCAGACTACACCAAAGCACTTGCCACCAACGCACATCTCGCCTCTTAAACAACTTAATTTCGTTGGAAGAAGCTTCAAACAATGATATATTACAGAGTAGCCTCCACTAAAGAGACACTGCAATCTAATAAATTTTAAAGATTCAACTTATATAAAAATAAGAGCATCCCTGGGTGCAAAATTGGGAGCATGACATGTAATTATGGGTTGCTTTTAGTTTGCTCAAACAAAACACTAGCTATTGACAGCTACACGTATCAGCTTCGAACTCAAGAGCAATTTTGACAACTTTAAGATCAGATAGAACCTGAGCTCAGTGAGCGGTAAGCAAATTAGAAGTAAAGACAGCATAAAACGCAATAAACGGGTTTCAGTTTGGTATCGAAATGTGTGTGTTTGTTTGTCTAAGTAAAGAAAAGCACATCACCACCAAAACGGTCATTTAGTGCAGGGGAAAACTAAGACATAAAGACAGAAAAAAAACAGGAGGGACAAAGACCCACCAGTGGTGTCCTCCAAACACCCGCTCCAGTCCAGTAGAAATAATATTATTCAGATAACAAACAAGAAAAATACGACGAGATGTTTTAAAAATTCTTACCTGTCCCGCTGTGTCAAACAGACTTATGACGTAGGATTTTCCTCCCATTGATGTTGTAACTGAAACAAAGGGGGAAAAAAACAGTTATTATTTCGCTGTACAACGCGATAAATGAATAACAATTTTATGCTTTGCAATTCAGGAAGATAACATTTCCCAAACTCCAGGAAAAATTGAACCAATCAAACATTTTCTTCTCCTCCCCCCTATCCGTCTCTCTCTCTCTCTCTCTCTCTCTCTCT